CGTATTTCCATCATGTCACCTGCCCTACTTGCTTCCAAACAAGACAAGACTCGAGCGACTTTTTATGGGTCTTAAAATTTCAAAAGCCTTTACCTCATCTCTTAAAAATGAATTACGCAACTAATTGTTCTGGAAAAGTTGCAAGCGAGACAGTGTCACATTTCGAGTGAAGGAAGTCGCAGACGCAATTGCTCTTTCTTGACTTACGTATTTAAAGTGGCTACTTGGTTTGAGTTACAACGTTGAGCTTTTTCTAAATCACGACAGAGAGAACAGAAGGTGTGGTCCGTACGATGATTGACGACAGCCACGTTGCCTCACAAGTGGACCTAGTTTCATCAGAGGGACCGCCATTGGTTGCAGGAGTTCATCGCTCAAACACAAAGTAGGAGGTGAAATGTGAAAAATGAAAGAGAATTACTTATGAATTGCCCCTGAGAAGAAGGGAGGAAATTCGCACACAATTTCAACTGTATTTTCGCCATATTTCCTTCTGGAATAAGGTACGAAATTCAGATGAATTACAGGGTTTATCGTTCATGAAGGAATATATTATTTTTCGTTTTAGTGAATTCATTGTCTGATGGTCAAAAGTTATTTGATTAACGGCCAACAGAAGAATGGCAGTCATTAAATCACCTTTCATTTAACTTCTGACTAGTGCATACTTGTCTTAGACTTTAAAATATGCTTATTTACTGCATCACTCTGCATGAATTTTATAGATTAGGATTTGTTGCCGTCGAAGATATCGATCAGACTATCAAACATGACGGAAAGTACAAATTTCCGAGCTCATTTCTTGACGCATGCAAACACTACAGTATAACCACAGTTCGATCGCATTAAACCAATGATGACTGCGAGTCTGTCGTCTTCACGTAATCTGTAGCTTGAAGAAATCATTCTCTCTACCCTTCATGAGCAGAAAAGTAGTGAGGCCACATGCTCAATATGGAGGTAAACGAGGAACCTAAACGATGAGTGCCAGTCAGTTTCACATGACGTTCAAGCACCAACCGCAAGAGAGATTTTACGGGGGAGCAGGAGGCCAAAAGTTGGCTCAAAAATAGGTTCACTAGCAGAACCCGAGGTACCGAGCGCGTGAGAGTCGGCTCGGAAACACCGGCCGCTGTTTCGTTTCAATGTTACAGCGACGGATTCGACTCGATTAGTTTGGGAAACTGCTTCTGGCGACCTGTTGCCGTCGTCGTCGTCGTCCTCGTAGCACGTCTGACCGGCGTTTGAATTATTTCCAAGTTGCTAAGCAGCTATTATTCCAAAAACTTCTTCACTGAAAACGTTAAAAAACCGTCTGACAGAAACGCAGAAGATTTACTGGACTGCGCAAGTTCTCTCCACCACCACCAATCGTTACTTTTCGCCCAATCGATGACTCACTTACTGGCCGCTGCACGGACGGTCAGTTTTTCACCGGCTTAATTACGTCCAACAACGAGAGATCGATCCTTTGACGGAAACGAAATCTACTGTAGCAGCCATGCTAATAATAAACCTCTCTTGTTGGTCGGTGCAAAATATCGTTGTTACAGTAAGCCAACAGGACGCAGCTGCTCTTCAACGATAGCGGCAATGGCGTCGCCACCACCGCCACCCACACCGGCACATTTTGTCGCAAATACTATGGAATTATGCGCTTTAGACAAATATTGCCCATGTTTACTTGCATGGAATGCATTGACATCCGTCGTAAACACTTCTCATTGTTGAACGT